GGCAGGGAGGCTGCAGAAGGGTCCACGAAGTTCATAGGTGTCCAATATTTAATGAAGTCAAGGTTTTGTTCACAAAGAAGAAATGAGGGTGGGAGCGGGATGACCACTGGGTAGGCAGCCAATGGGCCTGTCAGCTGAGTGTCCAGCACAACCATAAGCTTCTCCTCATCCTCACAGGCCCACCTTATTCTCTCCCCCAACCCAACAGATGACCTTACATGCTCCCTACTTGTTGGGGGAAACAAGAATCAGACTGGGGGAACTGATGGGTACAGAGGCCCAGGTGTCAGGGCAGGACCAGAGGCAGTGCAGCGCCTACTGAGTCAGGCGGGTGAGGGTCTGGACGGTGGGCATAGCTGCTGCAGGCATGGAAAGGAGAAGCAGATGGCGGCACTCCCAGGGACCATTGTTAGGCTCTCCATATGTGGACGTGTGCAGAGGTGGGGGTGCTGAGGAGGGAGGAGGTGCAGGGAATTTCTCTTCTCCTCTCTACTGCCTCTGACTTGGAGATGTCAGAGGAAACCGTGGCCCATTGTAAACTAACACAATGTCCCCACTCACAGGGTTAGAACCCTGCCCTTGGAAGCAGCTCTGAGTGGAGCATTCACGTGGGGAGAGGGCAGGACGCTGTGTCCAGCCGGGGGAAGGTGGTCACCAAGGGAGCTGACCCTCTTCTGGCCAGGTGGCTGCCTTCTGACACACCAGCCTGTCTGTCTAGCATGGCTGGCCCACACACACCCAGCCTGTCAAACTTACAGCCCTCAGGAAGGCTTTGGCCAATTAACGAGTGGCGCTTTCTCCCAGGAGGAAGGGCGGCTAAAGGATGGGGAGGGCAGTAGAATCCTGTATGCTCTGCCCCCTCCCTCCACAGCTGGACTGGAAGAAACGGGGCTTTCAGACACGCTTGCCCAGGCTGGGGTCTGAGTGTCACTTTCCAGACAATGGCTTCTTGCTTAATGGGTGAGCCCAGTTGCTGCTGTGCAGCTGCCACCCTAGTGAGGGTGAATGAGCAGGAGGCTCCGCCGCACTTCCAGGCTCAGGCTGCCTGGCTAGATCTGCTCTGCGGAAACTGCAGGCTGATAGGGGCTACCAGGAGGAGGAGGGGATGCAGCCGCCAGCCCCCACCCATGCGAATCGTATTTCTAAAAGCTTAGGTATACAGTAAATATTAGGTCCTGGGCTGCTGGGCCAGGAAGGGGTATTGTCCTCCTATTTTTCAGGGTTTATTTATTTGATGAAGGAGGGTTATAGGTACAACCAGTTTAAAGATGGATGGAAATTTTTAGAGTGCAGGCTGGGATTTAGGGTAAGCCAAGCAGACTTGTCCAAGCAGCTCTTTTGGGGAGGCCAGAGTCCTGTACCAATGTCCTCAGGCACGTTCAGCAGCTGCTGGGGGAGTGCTGGACAGGATTAAAGCACAGGAGAACTTTCTGGATGATAGAAATGCTCTGTATCTTGAAAGGAGGTAGGTTACATGGGTAATGCATTTGTTAAAACTTATCAAAATGTACACTTCAAATCTGTGCATTTCACTGAATATAAATTATACCTCCAACTAAAAACATTTTTTGAAAGACAGATGGGCCAGGCGCGGTGGCACATGCCTGTAATCCCAGCACCTTGGGAGGCCGAGGTGGGCGGATCACAAGGTCAAGAGATTGAGACCATTCTGGCTAACATGGTGAAACCCCATCTCCACTAAAAATACAAAAAATTAGCTGGGTGTGGTGGCACGCGCCTGTAGTCCCAGCTACTCAGGAGGCTGAGGCAAGAGAATCGCTTGAACCCAGGAGATGGAAGTCACAGTGAGCCAAGATCACGCCACTGCACTCTAGCCTGGCCTGGCGACAGAGTGAGGCTCTGTCTCAAAAAAAAAAAAAAAAAGCCCTGAGGTGGAAGATTGCCTAGCGGGCTCTAAGAACACCAAGGAGACCCCAGAAGACTGGAGCAGAAACAAAGCGAGGGAGGCAGCAGAGCCAGATCACAGAGGGCAAGCGTTAGCAAATTTGTTCTGTGAAGGGCCAGATAGTAAATATTTGAGGTTTTGGGGGTCACGTGGCCTCCATCATAACTAGGGAACACTGCTATTGTAGTGTGAAAGCAGCCATAGACAATACGTAACATATGAGTGTGGTTGTGTTCCAATGAAACTTTATTTACAAAAACAGCTGGCTAACTTGCCATCCAGCTACTGTTTGCCAGCACCTGATGTAGGACCCTGCAGGTCATTGTACGGATTTGAGCATCGACTTTGAGTGAGATGGGAGGAGGGGAGAAAAAGATTTTGAGCAGAAGCTCTGAAAGGACCCCTTTCCCTGTTGCATTAAGAGTAGATCACAGGGACACTAGGGTGGAAGCAAGAGAGGGAGCGAGGAAAACAGAAGGCTGAGGCAGTAATCCAACGGGAGATGATGATGACATTTTGGGTCGGAGTGTTGGCATTGCCATTGATAAGAAATCGTTATATTCTGAATACATTTAGAAGACTGAGCCAGCAGGATTCACTCATGGTAAAAGTGGTAAGGTACAAGAGAAGAAGAGTCAAGGGAAACTCTGAGGCCTTTAGCCTAGCAACTGGCAGGATGGAGGGGAAAGAGTAAGAGTTCAGTTTCGGACATGTAAATGTGAGATACCACGTGGACATTCTTGTGGATGAAAACCCTTGAACTGATGTAATCAAGTCAGGTCAGACTGGAAATATAAATTTGGGAGTTGTTGGGGTTTAAATGGTATCAATACATGGGACCAAGGATTGACTGTAGATAGATAACTAAGAGGTCAAAAGACTAAGCATTTCATTAACAAAAGGCAGGGCAGTAAGAAGGAGCCTGCAAGGGAGACTGAGCTAGCGGAGTAGGAGGAAAAGAGACTTGGCAGCCAGAAAACCAAGTGAGTGATGTATGTCAAGGACTGAGGGGCATCAGATGCAGGCAGAGAAATGCCATGGGGCAGGGTCACCACAGAGAACACATTCCCAGGCAATGCCCAGCACAGCCATTGGGGCAGGGCTGCCCCTGAGACCCTGGACCTATAGAGCCACCAGTGTGCAATGCCAGGCCGGGAGAGCTGCATGCACAGGACTCCAACCAGTGAGAGTCAGGGCATGGGCTTCACCCAGTAAAGCTATGGGGGTGGAGCCACCTGGAGCCTTGGGGACCCAACCCTCACCCCAGTGTGGCTGGAAGGTGAGACATAAAGTCAAAGACTATCCTCAAGCCTCAAGATTAAATGTTGTTTCCCCTGGTGGGTTTTGGACTTACTTGGGACGAAGCTACTTCTTCTTTCCTATTTGTCCCTTTTAAATGGGAGTATCTATCCTATGCCCATTCCACCGTTGTATTCTGGAAGCATGTAATTTGTTTGACAGCTGGAGGGAAATTTGGCTCAGGATGAATCACACCTTGAGTTGGTCTTACCCACGTTTACAGGAGACTTTGGACTTAAATGGAATGAACGTGTTAAGAACGTGAATTTGAGAAACCAGGGGTGGAATGCTATGCTATGATCTGAATGTGTCCTTCAAAATTCACGTGCCGAAACTTAATGGCCAATGAGATATTAAAAAGTAGGACCTTTAGATGATTAAGTCTTGAAGGCAGAGCCCTCACGGATGGGATCAGCATCCTTATAAAAAGACTGATGGAGTTTGGTGGCTTTTTGTCCTTCCACCTTCTGCCAAGTGAGAACATAACAAGGTACCACCTTGAAGCAGAGCAGCTTTTACCACTCAACTTGCCAGCACCTTCATCTCAGACCTCCCAGCCTCCAGAACCGCAGGAAATGTTTCTGTTGTTTATAAATGACCCAGTCTCAGGTATTCTGTTACAGCAGCACAAATGGACAAAAGCCAGTGCTTAATTTAGCCCCATACAGCTTAGCTCTACCCTGCTGTAGCCATCTTCTGCAGTAACAGGAATGCAGACTGCAAACTTCCACAGGCTCTTCTTGACCACTGATTGACCCCTTGTAGATAAAAAATCAGAAGGGCTTTACCTGTTGCTTTGGTGGAATCTTAGTCCACATTCTCTACCCATCTGGACTAAGGCTTACTGCATTTCCATCAAATCAATATGAGAGCCTATTAGACAAAAGGCATTTTTCCCTAGATGGGGAGGTTGAAACAATGAGCACCTGGTGGTCACAGAACACTCTACAGACTACAGTTTACATTCCTGGCTGTATTGAGCTTCTATTGCTTCTAGATTCACTTCTCCATCATACCTGTCCTCTGCAGCTGACTGTGGATAGGGCTCTACAGCCTTGTTCAGATGACATGAGATCATCTCCCAAAGGGGAAGGAAGTAAGGCACAGGCATGAAAATGCTACTGTTTTATGAAATGACAGGGCAATGGGAGAAGGAAATTAAGAGCCCAAAGAGTGAGGACTTCTGCTGTAGACAGCTGCTTGTGAGGGGGTTGGCTGGCTCTGTCCTCTTCTCAGCCTGCAGGCCAGTGCTTGCACACCAGCCCATATGGACAAGCTGGCCTGGCCCTCACACAGGCCTGGGCCATGGCAAGAGCACAGCAGGATCAGCTCAGGCAGTGCCTGAATAGGAAGGGCCTAGGGAGGAGCCAGGTGCTGCTTCACACCAATGGAAACCGGAAGGGCTTTGCAAATAGTCAGGAGTTTGTCTTTTCACACTATGGAACTCTCAAATATCTGTCACCAATGTAAAGAAAGGTTCTCGGCCGGGCGCGGTGGCTCAAGCCTGTAATCCCAGCACTTTGGGAGGCCGAGACGGGCGGATCACGAGGTCAGGAGATCGAGACCATCCTGGCTAACACGGTGAAACCCCGTCTCTATTAAAAAAAATACAAAAAATTAGCCGGGCGAAGTGGCGGGCACCTGTAGTCCCAGCTACTCGGGAGGCTGAGGCAGGAGAATGGCGGGAACCCGGGAGGCGGAGCTTGCAGTGAGCTGAGATCCGGCCACTGCACTCCAGCCCGGGCGGCAGAGCGAGACTCCGTCTCAAAAAAAAAAAAAAAAAAAAAAAAAAAGAAAGGTTCTCAAGAATTGTATTATAAAACAGAACAATGACACAACATAAGCTTACACATTAATATTTACATTATATTCAAAATATATTACAGTTTTAATTTATGAACAGAAATATCCTGTCTTTTCTTCTTTTTCTTTTCTGCTTTCTTTGCATCATTGATTTGCATTTTTACTTGATCTTGTAATTTAGAAAAGAATGCTTGAGAGGACTTTAAGGCTTTGTCTTTACCTTCATCCTGCAATTAAAAACAACACATGCTTATGCTGTAAAATGTACTTATAAGTGAAAAAAGCCAAAAATAGTACATCACCATTACAACAACATATACAACCATAAATATGAAAAAAAAGGACTAGAATTACAGAAAACTAAATCAGTTAGCATAGAGGTATTCCATACTGCTACAACGTTCTTATAATCTAACAGAGAAAGGAGTGAAAGACAAACTGCTGCCAGTACCCAGGTTATTGTGAGGACCCTACATGAAAAACCCCAGAACATTAAAGGTTGCGATTCCAGCCGGTCAGCATCATGTGCCTCCATCCCGCAGGTGGGCTGTCGGCTGGCTCAGACATTCCAGTCACCCAGTGCTTGCTATCCACTTCCCCCACAAAGGTCCCCTTGAGCAATTTTCTTTCCCTTGTCCTTACCTTTATGAAGGAAGCTTTGCCAGTTTTGGTCAGCTGTTTTAACTTCTCCGAAGCTACTGCTTTGCTGTATTTCCCTGCTTGATCTACACTGCTCTTTTCAAGCAGTTTTCTCCGCTTCTCCTTTTCTTTTATTTTCATACGCTTTTGATATTTCTTTTTCCTTCGCTCTCGTTTCTTGTCTGTAGCTGTTTTTTCAGCAGCTGTTTTTATATCTCCAGCTTTATTTTTCTCCTATTAAAAAAATAACCACCAACATATTTGTTAATCAAGTTTAACAACTAGGAAACTGGAATGGAAGAAACTGCAGGGTAGCTAGGGAGCAGGCTGTGCGTCCGTGGCCAAGTGCACAAAGATGCAGAGCAATCCCCACCTACATTCCAGTGAGCACTGGTAACTCAGTTCTTTAAAACCTGAAATGCATTCTTTGACAGCACAGACTCTTATAGTGACGGTTCAGTTCCTAAACTAATTCACAAGAAGGCAACATGGAGAGTTGGGTTTTCAACCTATCAGCACAAGAGGAGCCAGCCCTCCACAGCATTTAGATTCCAATGGGCTTCAGGGACATGCCAGAGGCAGCCTCAGCTCTGAGCTGCTAATGACAGCAACTGGACTGAGAACAGAGGGCAGAGACCAAAGAACCGAGGAAGGGAAGGGAAACATCTCTCTAGTGAGGATCAATTTTATCTCTTTTCTCCTCAGCTGCCAGCCTATCCTGCCAGGGCTGTCACCAGCACTGAGGTGGCAGAGGCTCAGACAGAAGGGGTGAGTGTAGGTGTAGCAAATCAAGTGAGGAGGGACAAGGAAGGCCCTGCTGCTAAGCCAGCCAGGAAGATGAGCACCTGGCAGAAACCATTATTACTATGTGAGGCATGAGCTTCAGTGTTCACATGGCAGCGATTGTTGCATTTGATAACCAAATGCTCAATTCTAGATTCAGATTCCATTACTAATTAGCATTACACGAATAAAATAAGGGGGAAATGCTGATACTAAACTATTGCTAGTATATACGCAATGCAAGCAATTTGTTTTAAACTTAGTATCACTGCTAGTATTTGGATTGAATTATAACAAGATATTGATACTAGCTATTTTAAAACTGCTCTTATGGTAACTCTCAAACTGTACCTCATAATAAAGCCACAATATAGGAGACTGGTATTTGAATATTGTAACATTACTTGTTTGCTTATACTTAGAAACTGCTGAGATATACTGGAATAAGAACTACAAATCCAAGACAAATGACATTAAATAAATGGAGTCCGGCTAAAATCAACTAACTTGTAACAGACATTTAAGGTTTCAACACTGGCTTCTTACCTTGATCTCCTCTGGGGCCAGGAGAGCTGCATCACTAACACTCACTGGGGCTACTTCCTCCATGGTTATGGCTGGCAGATTTGACACAACTTTAATCTCTGGTACAGGCTAGAAAAGAGATAATATATTCAATGGGAAGCCAGAAGGGACTCTCGCACAAAATGTGTGAACTGTGAACCTATTAACTTAAAGTATAATATATAAAATACTTTATGGAAATTATCTTTTCACTTGCTTGAAAGTCAGCAAACCTAATGGAGACTATTTAAAACGTTAGATATGGTAACAGCCAAAGTCCTAAGTGGACTGGCATGACGGCAGTGCTGAGGGGCGGCACTGCTTCAGGATCCCAGAGACCTGGGTATTTTAGGGTTTTCCGTCTCAAAACCATTCCAACAGCACGTATTTCTACATTTTTCCATAACATTTCTGCCATCTTCAAACATCAGTTCTTCCATCTCTTCCTTAACTATTCCTATCTGCCATGCATGTGGACATTCTCAAACAACCATCAATGCTGTTTGGTAAGATTTGCTGATTTCTATTATCTTGACTTTGCTTACAGGAAAAAACGCTAGCTCTAAGAAGTATATGGAAAAAGATGCAAGGAAAGACGTTTATGGGAACAAGAGTCAAAACCAGACGACTGATAAATTTCCTCATCTTTCAACTGAAAACATCTCCATAAACATAAATATGAAATAATACTGAACTATTTTGAAAAACTAAAACAGTATCAAAATAAATCAAAGCTATCAATTATAAAAAGGGGGAAAGGATGCAATGTTAATTGAAGGACCATCTGCTTCAGATTTTTGCCTTTTTTTGAAAGAACTACCCAAGAAATCCAGTAATTAAAACACGTTTCATACTGATCCTGTGATTAAAATGGTGACTATGTATTGCAATTACATTAGTATTCTTTCTTCCTCATCACCATCCTGTGCATGAAGCTATTTGCTCAAGGAAACTTCACAAAGAACAAAAGCCATAAACACATTAGGATCCTGGATTCTAAGTGAGAGAAAAATGAGAGTGTGAAAGAAATCATTTCTTCTACTGGACCACCATTCAACTGTTACTAAAAACACTGTATTCCATTCTAGCATTTAAAGAGAAATACGGAGAAAAAGAAGACAGTCCAAAAAGCCACAAAAGGCTGGGCACAGTGGCTCACACCTGTAATCCCAGCACTTTGGGAGGCCGAGGCGGGCGGATCATTTGAGATTAGGAGTTTGAGACCAGCCTGGCCAATATGGTGAAACCCCGTCTCTACTAAAAATACTAAGAAATTAGCTGGGCATGGTGGTACATGCCTGTAGTCCCAGCTACTCGAGAGGCTGAGGCAGGAGAATTGCTTAAACTCAGGAGATAGAGGTTGCAGTGAGCCAAGATTGTGCACTCCAGCCTGGGCAATAGAGTGAGATTGTCTCAAAAAAAAAAAAAGAAAAAAAAAAGCCACAAAAAATGATAGCTGTGATTGGTAAATGGAGTCTACAGAGATGGTGTGTGAAATACCAACCAGAACATGAAAAAAGTAGTATCAAAGAGAACCTACACTAGCAATTCTACATTTCTTATGGGAAAAAAGAAAGGCTTTTCATTTGGGGCACATAGACACAAATACATTCACTTCTCCTTCACTTCCCAATATTCCAAGGAATGTCTAACTGCTTCCCTGCATTAGATCCTAGCTAGTGCAAGGAACAGAGTGGAACAGTAGATGCATTTTGTGCTGCCTGAAGACAAGTAGAGAGCAATGAACAACTAGCGAATGCCTGCAAATGTGCAATGCAACTATGAGGAAAAGGAGCCGAGTGGTGAGACATGCAGCAAGGCGGGAAGGGCAGTCTACCCTAGGTAGGGAGCCAAGGAACATCTGCAAGGAGGGGAAGGCGTCTAGCCTGGGCAATAAGGAGCCAGCCATGCCAAAAAGGAAGTGCAGCCTACTGGGCCAGGGGAAAGAGCACAGCGAGAAAGCGCAAGGGACTTGGCCTGCTGAAGGAATCAGAAGATCAGTGGGGGTGGGGGTAGCAAGCCAAGGGAGACCAAAGGGGTGGGAAGAGCCAGATTACACAGGTTAAGGCCCAGAAAGGGCCCACATCCTTCACCTCAGTAAGACCTGCTGGATAAGAGGAGTTGAGAAATTCCACTCATCTCTTCACCTGTTTATTTCACACAACCCAGAGTAGGGACTTTGGGAATCTAAAGATGGCTCCTGCCATCAAAAACTTACTAGCATGTAATTACAACTGGATTAAAAGCATACATATACACCAAAAAAACAAACAAAACAGGTAAAAAAGCTTATTGTCTGAGAAGACAAAATATCTGCATGGGAAAAAATCACCTAGCCATCAACTAATAAGAAAGGATCTTGGAGATTAGCTCTTCTGTACAGATGAAACGTGAAGTGATTGCCTGTATCATAAAGCCAGTTAGAAGCAGAACTCAACTCAGGTTCTGACTTCTAGACTAGTCCTTAATTCATGACATTCCATTTCAGACAACAACACAGGCACCAAAGGGCAACATGTGAACAAGTACCAAAGGATGGTACAAGCATGTTTTATGGGTTCACAGAAGCTGGTGAGTAGATGAGGCTCCAATGAGTAGACAGGTAGAGCCAAGTCTGGGTGACAGACAGACAGGGGAGGAGCATTTGAGAGGGTTGGGCCTGGTGAGGGAACATCATGCAGCGAAGACAGCATGGGCCCAGAGTTAGTTCTCACCCTCCCACCTCCTAAACCTTGGTTTTCTCCCCTGAGAAATGGAAACCATAGTACCTGCCTCAGTGTTGTGTGCATTAAGTGTTAATGTATGTAAAGACACATACATATTATTAATGTATGTAATATGACACATAGCAGATACTCCATAAATGCTGGGTATAGATATCCATATGTCTCCAAACCCATTATACAATGAAAATGCAACAAGACTGAGAGGGTAGAGAAGGGAGGAGCCCCTGTGGCTATGGCTGAGGGTCTTTTAAAGTGTGAGGTAAGTTAAAATAGTAAGAGGCAGTAGTAATGGGATGCCTGACCATGCCAGCCCCAGCTGGCAGGGGCTCACTGAAGATCTGGGTAGAGCCAGAACTGTCATGGAACCAGAACTGAGCCTTCCTCATGGAGACCCTGCCTGGAATTTACAGGAAATTACTACAAGTTTGTATCCTGAAACAAAATAAAGAGCTAGTCTCACAAAGGATCAAAGCTATGAAAGTCACCCTGCTCTAGCTACACACTGAACTGTTAACACACTTACCGGTTTAGGGATAAAGTGGAAGTTTGAGAGGGCATCCAATTTTAAGAAGAGGGAATCCATCATCTTCTGAATTTCTACATGCTCTGGATTTTCTTCTTCTGCTGTTTTTTGCTTGGGAAATAAGTTCAACAACGTCAAACTAAGAGACTTGATATATATCACAGGACAAAACACTAAAGGTCAATGAGGATATTCCCAACTTCTCATCACTAAAGCTTCAGCTACAAGGAAACATTCCAAAAGCAAAATTAAAAGCAGCAGTACCATGAGGGTTCTAGCACCTTCCAGAGATGTGATGTGCATTTTAGGAGCTACAGTAACCATTACCTCTAATATTCAGAACTTAAAAATTTAACAACCTTGGTATTTACTTCTGTCAAAAATTAAGCTATTCCTCCTAAGATAGCTACAGTTTTGTTTTTTTTTTTTTAAAAGGAAAATAGCAAGTGATAACAAGTGTTGACAAGGATGAAGAAACTGGAACCCTTGTGCATTATTGATACGTAGGAATGTAAAATCATGCGGTCACAGTGGCAACAAGCTTGGCAGGTCTTCAAAAAGCTACACAGAGAATTACCATCTGACCCAGCAATGCCACTCCTGGGTGTACAACCAAGAGAATTAAAAACAGATACTCAAACAAATACATGTACATGGCACTATTAACAGTCAATAGATGGAAACAGCCTAAATGTCCATCAGTGGATGAGCAGATAAACTGTGGTACACACACATAATGGAATACTGTGCAACCATAAAAAAGAAATGAAGCACTGACAAATGCCAGTCTTGAAAACACGACGCTCAATGAGTTGTCAGAAATGGAAGGCCACATATGGTATGGTTCCAAAATAGGCAAATCCACAGAGATAGAATGCAGACTGGGGTTTGTTGGGGCTGGGACAAGTGAGGAAAGGGTAGCAACTGCTTAATGCCTATGGCGCTTTATTGTGGGCTGATAAAAATGTTTTAGAACGAGATACAGTTAGTAGTTACATAACACTGTCCTAAATGCTCCAAATTTGTTCACTTAAGTGGTTAATTTTATGTTATGTAAATCTCACATCAATTAAAAAGAAAAAAAAAGGCCCAGCACGGTGGCTGGCTGGGCACAGTGGCTCATGTCTGTAATCTCAGCACTTTGGGAGGCTGAGGCGGGCAGATCATGAGGTCAGGAGATCGAGACCATCCTGGCCAACATAATGAAACCCCGTCTCTACTAAAATACAAAAAAATAGCCAGGCTTGGTGGTGTGCACCTGTAATCCCAGTTACTCAGGAGGCTGAGGCAGGGGAATCGCTTGGACCTGAGAGGCAGAGGTTGCAGTGAGCCTAGATTGCGCCACTGTACTCCAGCCTGGTGACAGAGCAAGATTCTGTCTCAAAAAAAAAAAAAGAAAAAAGAAAAAAAAGAAGTGTTAATATAGACTTCATAAAATTATCCAAATATCCATTTGGATGATAGGGACTTTTTTTTCTTTTATTTACATGTAATGTGTTAAAGATTTATTCTGACAAATCACATTGAAAAAACTGACAGCAATGTTAATTTTATTGAAGAGAAAAAGTAAATTTCATGCTTCTCTCTCTGTCCCCTTTGGCCCCAAATGCTTATTCTAAATGCCTAAGAGGGCTTTTTGTTTTTTGTTATTAAGACCCAAAAAAAAAAAAAAAAAAAAAACCAAAAAAAACCAAACACCACTAGGAAAAGAAAGGCTCTTCGCCTCCTTATCATTATTACAAAGACACATCCAGGTCTGGTTCCAATGTCCATCTTCAGCACCCACCTTCCAGCCATGGTCAGGCATCACGCTACTATTGCTTCTTACTATTGTAACTTACCTCACACTTTAAAAAATCCTAAACATGTCCTTTCACCTCGTTCTAGGTAACAATAGCTGTAAAATCAAATATGTAGCTGTATATTTGCTATACAGCATTTTTCTGAGCCACTTTATATACACAACTGTAAGTAAAAGCTCCTACATGTGCTGTTTACCATCATTTCACTCCTAGAATTAGCCTAGCTACTAGAACTCCAAGTCCATCCTCAAAAAATTCTGAACTGGCTGTTGACTTCTAAGAGAGAAACGAAACTAACATTTAGAGCTAGCATAAACTATTGCATTACATATATAATTTTTAACTCTCGTGGTCACCAAATACTTTCTGTATCTACTGAATCTCCTCAAAGATTCAAATGAAACTGTACACATCCTCCTTCAGCTACCACCTTGGATTGCAAAGCAGCCAGGAAGAATTTTAATTCAAATCTTCTCAGTTCTTCAATTTCACAGTGGCATCAGGGCAATTTGCTGTTGCTAACTGAAGGGCATTCATTAACAAAATCTGTTGGGAATCATAAATGGCTTTTGCAGGAAAAAAAATGCCATCTGATCCCTAAGTACATTTTTTTTTCATTCCCACTAAATCAAATGTGAAGGAATAATTCGATCATTATATCAGCATATTTTTTTTTTAGGAATATGACCTTGTCCTATTATTTAACCAGAGATTTCTTTTCTTTTTTTTTTTTTTTTTTTTGAGATGGAGTCTCGCTCTGTTGCCCAGGCTGGAGAGCAATGATGCGATTTTTTTTTTCTGCAACCTCCACTTCCCTAGTTCAAGCAATTCTCCTGCCTCAGCTTCCCAAGTAACTGGGATTACAGGCACACGCCACCACACCTGTCTAATTTTTTCATATTTTTAGCAGAGACGGGGTTTCACCATGTTGGCCAGACAGGTCTCAAACTCCTGACCTCAAGCAATCCGCCCTTTTTTTTTTCCCAAAGTGCTGGGATTATAGGTACACGTCGCTACACTCAGCCCAGAGATTTTTTTTTTTTGAAAGAAAAAATAGACCTAAAAATCAGAATGAATTTATAATCATGTAAAATATGTCAGTTATTTCAAAATATCAATGAGAAATGGTTTTAAAGTTGTAGCACCACCATAATATTTTTTTTTAAGCTAATAATTAGTTGTAAAAGTATCAGGTGACCAAAGCCTAATTGCAAAGTTTTTTTTTCAACCCCTCACATAAAGCGGGAATATTAGAACCCTTCTATTCCTAGCATGCTTTTTTTTTTACTTAAATGATGTAGCTGAAGAGCTCAAGATTTCCATTTCATGTTTTCTTTCTTTTTTTTTTTTTTTTTTTTGAGATGGAGTCTGGCTCTGTCGTCCAGGCTGGAGTGCAGTGGTCGGATCTCAGCTCACTGCAAGCTCCGCCTCCCGGATTTATGCCATTCTCCTGCCTCAGCCTCCCGAGTAGCTGGGACTACAGGCGCCCGCCACCTCGCCCGGCTAGTTTTTTTTGTATTTTTTAGTAGAGATGGGGTTTCACCGTGTTAGCCAGGATGGTCTCGATCTCCTGACCTCGTGATTCGCCCGTCTCGGCCTCCCAAAGTGCTGGGATTACAGGCTTGAGCCACCGCGCCCGGCCTCATGTTTTCAACAGTATTTCTTTAATAATAACGGTTTTGCCTTACAGGCTTCCTCACCTGGTTGAGTTTGATGTACTCCTGTTCATAAATTTCAGCAAGGCTCAATTTACTCTTCTCATGGTCTAAGGTTAAACGCTTTTTATATTCATATGCATCCTCTTTAGGTTTTTCTTTACGTACTACATCATCCCAAGCCTGAAACATAAAGGACAGGTAGAACATAACAAAACCTACAATGTATTTCTAGGTTCACTTAAGAATCTTCCTCTGGAATATTGTTATAATAAATATTATCAATATATTAATAAATTATCATTAACACATTAATAAATTATTGTAAACATATCAGTTATATTTATTATTACTCATTATTCCAGAGTAAGCAAATTATAGCAAAAAGAAAATTTTCAACTTCTGAAATAACTATTCAAGTCACAAAGAATAAACATTTGGAAAGCAAAGGAAGCAATACTCAAATATCTTTTTCTGTTTTTTGTTTTAAATGAGTCTTCCTTCCTCATTACCAACTTTAATTCCACGTTTCCCCAACACAGTTTGTTTAAAAGTCAAGCCTTGAGTTAGTTTATCACATTTCATTTCAAATTTTAAGATGTTCTGCACATGATACTCACCCTTCAAACTCTATTTTAGACCTACAAGTGTAGGCAAACATTATACACATGTTATAAAGCCATTTCTTACTATACATGCCATATATCTAAGATTTATACTAAGTTTACAAAATCAGATCAATTCTTTAACAAAAACCACTAGGTTTTTAACATTTGAAAAAAATACGCCATTGAGAAATGGTTTTAAATTGTAGTACTACCACAAATGTTAGGGTTTGAACGTCCCCTCCAAAATTCATTTTGAAACTTAATCCCTGATGTGGCAAAACTGAGATGTGGGGCCTTCTAGGACATGACTGGATCACCAGGGTTCTGCCCTCATGAATGGTAGTTGCATTTATGGATTAATGGGTTATTATTGGTGGGGGAATGGTGGCTCCTAAGAAGAGCAAGAGACACCTGAGCCAGCATCTTAGCATGCTCAGCCCTTTCACCATGTGATGCCCTGCTGCACCACCTTGGGACTCTGCAGAATCCCCTCTGATAAGAAGGCTCCTCCACCTTGGACTCCTCGGCCTCCACAACTGTATTCTTTTTCTTTATAAGTCACCCAGTTTCAGATATTCTGTTATAAGCAACAGGAAAAAGACTAAGACACATATACTGAGTAATTTGCCACACCAGATACTGTGCCTAAGCCAAGGGTTCTGGGTGCAACCACCACAGGTCAGCCACCAGCTTCATTAAGCACCGCCCAAAAGGTCAGCAAGACTAATGGCTTCTGGCTCCTCTCAGGCACAATACTCGTCTTTCCTAGGTACTACTAAAGAGCAGCACCTCACACAACAAAAGCTGACTAGGTAGCCTAGATTTAAGGTTTGTGAACACTAAGTGAAAATAAAAAGCAATAGTCCCACTCTCAAAGTACTCTCACATTATTCCTAAAAATTTCAGTGACATTTCAATTAAGTTAAATTTAATTCTTACTGACCTGATCTCTTATCCTCTGTTTAATGATATCTTCCAGTTGAAGGGTGGTTTCCTCTGTAATCACAGGTGCTAAAGGAAATACAACATTTATTCATTAGGTAGATATCCACTAGACCACTGATTCTCACATTGCAGTCCTTGGACCCACAGTGTCAGCAACACGTGGGAACTTGTTAGAAATGCAAATTTCTGGGCCACCCCCATACCTCCTGAATCAGAAAGTGGGGAAGAGGGACAGCTATCTGTGCTTTAATAAGCCTTGTGATGCTCCCCGAAGTTTGAAAACCACAAAACTAGGATACATATGGTACTAAGTGCTAATACTTTATCCAAGGTACCCAAGGACTCTTCCCCTCTTTTCCATTCTCTTCCATTGAAATAAAATGAAAACTCATTTTGACTTAATGGGTACAAGAAAGAAGGCAATGAGATGACCACGGTTTCAGGTTGGAGTTCAAAATTTAATCAGTGGACCATGACAGGATGCAAGCCTTTGAAACAGATTACTGCAAAAAACTTGATTATAAACTATATATTAGGTATCATCAGTGTACTGATGTTAAATTTTTGGGGTGGATTAATGGTATTGTGATTATATAGGAGAATGTCCTAGTTCTTAGAAGATACCTGCAAAAGCACTTAAAAGTGAAGTGCCATGAGACTGGCAACTTACTTAAAAAAGGGGCACATATACATTCTTACATATGCTGAGGAGAGAAAGTAGATACGACAAAATGGTAACTGGTGAATCCAGTTGAATAGCATATAGATGTTCACTGTAATATTTTTTCAACTTTTCTGTGTTTATAAGTTGTTTTTTTCTTTTTTGATGGAGTGTTGCTCTATCGTCCAGGCCGGAGTACATCGGCATGACCTTGACTCACTGCAACCTCCCCTTTTTGGGTTCAAGGGATTCTCCTGCCTCAGCCTCCCGAGTAGATGGGATTACAGGCACCTGCCACTATACCCAGCTGATTTTTGTATTTGTAGTAGAGATGGGGTTTCACCATGTTGGCTACGCTGGTCTCAAACTCCTGACCTCAGGTGATCTGTCTGCCTCAGTTTCCCAAAGTGCTGGGATTACAGGCGAGAGCCACCGTGCCAAGCCATGCGTTTACAAATTTTTAAAATAAAAAGTTGAGGGAAAAGAAACATCACCCCAAATCTTTGTATGAAATGGAACCATGGAAAAAGCACAGACATGACCACTTTACAGAAGAGGGCACCATACCCATCCGGACAGCATGGTCAAAGTGCAGGGTCTCCTCCAAGAGGCTGTTCTCTGGCCTCTTCTGTGCTGTCACTTCCCCCTGAAGCTGCCACGGCTTTTTTTCTAACAACTCTTTTTCTAAACATGCAATTTTTTCATTCATCTAAGAAAGACACAAAATAATTAGTATACATTTAGAAAATAAAATTACACTTATATTTGTGTAAAAGTAAAAAATACTTTAAAAAGTGGGAAAGCAAGAAATGTACTGTTCTACAATTCTGTTCTTGCCATCTTTTTATTTTGTCAATGACTTCCTATTTCTGCTGCCTATGGTGGGGTGAGCTGCAAACAATTTCTTTTCCTCACTGATTTAAAATGCCATGTTTATAATATACTAAACTCCCCAGACGCATTTGGGTCTGTTTCTGGGCTCTATTTTATTCAAGTGATCTATCTATTCGCAAGTGAAGTAATTCTTTGATTAGAATATTAGTATCTGATGGAGTCTGACTCTTTTGACTCCAAACTCAAATTCTTATTCTAACTCCTTTTTTTATATTTTTTTGAGGCAGAGTCTCACTCTGTCGCCTAGGCTGGAGTGCAGTGGTGTTATCTCAGCTCACTGCAACCTCCATCTCCTGAGCAATTCTCCTGCCTCAGCCTCCTGAGTAGCTGGGATTACAGGCGTGTGCCACCATGCCCAGCTAATTTTTGTATTTTTTAGTAGAGATGGAATTTCACCAAAGTGCTGGGATTATAGGCATAAGCCACCACCCCTGGCAGTTTTCCTAATCTCTTATCCTTATCTTTTGTAGTTACGCTGGCTTATGAGTCTAAAAGAATGTTAATCAACAGTGGTAACTGTAATACTGGACATCTTGTCTCATTCCTAATCTTAAAGGGATGCTTCTAGAATTTCACCCATCATGCATGATGGCAGCTTTTGGCTTAGATATATTTGTATTCCACTAGGAGTGAAAAAAAAATTAGAAATGAATATTGAATTTTATCAAATGTTTTTCTGACATATGGAGGTGACCATATGTTTTTTTCTCCTTAATGTCTTGCAGTCAGGAATCATACTAGATTTTCTAATACTGATTCAAGAGAATAAGGTTCATGCAGTTGTGTGGCATAATTCTTCCACCGTGCTGCAGGATTTTTGCAACCCCGTTCGTGAATTTGTGTGTGTGTGTTGTGTGCGTGCGTTTTAATGCTACCTTTGTCAGGTTTGGGTTTTCATGTTCTAACAGTTTAAAAAAAAAAAGTTTGAAAGTTCTACTTTATTCTTTATATGTGGAAACGCGCGCCATAAATTATTGTGATTTATCTGAAACTTAACTTGAAGGTCTGATGTATTTCACCAGATAAAACGCAAACCTTTCTTTCTTTTATGTGTGTGGGAGGGCGGGGAGGAGTGAGGTGGAAGACGACTGACTCATTGATGATTTTATAATGTGCGTTTTGTTTACCTTAGAATTGTCTCTATCTTCTTGGGGACAATCTGGACCAGCCACGGATTTAATTCAGATTCTCCAAATTTTAAAAGACAATTCTTTTGATATCGTGTATCTTTTATTATCGGCCTATCTTTTTTTTTTTTTTTTTTACACAGTCTCTAGCTCGTTGCCCAGGCGGAGTGCTGGCGAGAGCATATCTCGACGCAGCCGTTAACTGCTGGGACTCCAGGAGATCCTCCCCCATCCGCCTCTCGAGGGTAGCAGAGTACGCGTTGAGCTATAGGGGCACACTGACAGGGGCCCAGCTGTGTTTTTTGTAAACCTTTTGAATGGAGAGGTGGCCGTTTTGCCGGTTGCCCAGGTTGCCTCGAAGCCCTGGCTGTAAGACAAGCTCCTCCCTCCTCAGCTCCCAAGAAGCGAGGGGTGGCCACGTGGGCCGGGCGCCGAGCTCGATTTTTATGGTGATAAAATTTTGAAGATAAATAG